TTTAAATGTGCCTCCACTTATATAATGTATTGTACCACCCAAATTCTGAATAAGTGAAAGATCTCTCCAAAAAATACATATGCATGTTTTATTCAAAAGGTAAGGAATGATGCGTCATCATCCCTAACACACTTTATTATAGTAGTAGCATCAATTGAGGCAGAGAAGTTAATTAGATGCTGTCCTTAATGGATGCACTATAACCGTTGTCATAGAACCTGCTCCAAAGCATAACTCCTCCGTACTTGGGCGAATTCTTAATCGTTGGAAGAACTTGTGACTTGAGAGCGTCAGCAGGAATAAATCCGCCGCTTGGAGCGGCCTCAGGAGCTGCCGGTAACCCCATGAACACCTGGGTGGCCGGAACCGAGGCCCATTGGTTCCAACTGCTTAAAAGAGCGTCGGCATTACCGTCTGCATACTGGCATGGGGGGTTGTTGTAGAACTGAACCCAAACGTAGTCAAATAAACCGGTTTGGATAGCGGCGTCCAGGTGAGCATCCGGGATCGGACATTGTGGAGCTGCGGCTAAATAGACCGTTTTTGCCTGTGCGTTGTGTCCGTTGAGTGACCTGGCGAGCTCATCATAGAACTGCGCACCACCCGCCTCAATGTCGAAATCAACGCCGTCCAAAACCGCGTCCCCAAGCGGGCGCGAAGCGGACTGACCACCTAAGAAGTTGTTCCAGATGTAATCAGCAACTTGCCTTGCATCATCAGCTGAAGTGAGAGAGTAACTTCCGGCGCCCCCTCCAATCGAGAGGAGGACTTTTATGTTTTTTGATTGGCAGGTTCTGATGTCAGCACTCAGCCCCGTGCAAGTACCACTAGGGGGGTCGCAGTGGCCGGCGAGGTTTAGGACAGGGGTTTGGTTGTTTCCGAAAGTAGTGAGGAAAGCTATGTTAACAAACTGGTAGTTGCCTGAGTTGCAAGCATCTGCTAGGGTTCCTTCGTTGCCGTTTTGGCCCCAATAGATCGCAATTCCGGCGGCTTGGGAGGACTTGCATGAAGAAATGAGGATCAAGAGGGACAGAGTTAGGGTTAGGGTTTGTGTTTTGGATGCCATTTTTGTATGTGTTTTTTTGGGTTGTTGCTCAAAGTGCTTGGGAGGGGACATGTACTTATAGGTGGAGACTTACTGGTTAAGGTTTAGGGGAAGAAAAATATGACACACGAGTTCTGCTTGTAAGAAATGGATGCCAGTCTTCTGCTTGTCAATCAAGTTAGCTAGGGCCTGTTTGGTCGAAGTTTCACATGAAACGTCGATTAAGTTAGGTCGGGTTGGAAATGCTTTCTTCAAAAACCACTTACACACGTAAGCTCTTCTTATATTTTTCATAATAATGCAAGTGCTTTTGGAAAAAACACGAGAGGTGTTTCGCATGTGTTTTTTTCAAAAAGCACTTCAAATATTTTTTCTACCTAAAAATCCATTAAAGCTCCTTTACTTGTTTTAAAGAAACTTCCAAAATAATATTTAAAGAAAAATTACTTCTAGAGAGAATTATAACATGCTAATTGAGAGATCCCGAAACTAGAAACTAGATGGTTATAGTGAAGCGTGACCTTAACTGCTTAATTAGGTGAAAAAAGCCATCAAATTTGACAAAAAGTCTGATGAAAGGTCATAGCTGTATGCATAATCCGTAGATGAGATAATCATGAAACAATACGTGGGGAATCAACACAGCCTTATCATCGTCAAAAAATTTTAGTGTTCTAGAAACACGATCTGATATACAAAATGTTTTAACATCAATTGAACGTTTTGGAAATTTGTGGATAGAAACCAAATGGAATATGCTTGCTAGCTGCTATATACATCTTGGATTTTAGCTGAGGTGGCCATTGGCCAAGGACTGCGATCTAATCACGATGCTTTAATTTCGCAGTACGAAAAAAATTTCAGATAAAATTTAGAACATGTTTAGGGAGTGCTTTCAAATCACTGAAAGCGATTTTAGAAAGAAAAAAAATGTTTATACAACTAATTTTTAATAAAAATGCAAGTTAATTCTCTAAAAGTATTGAAATTAGTGCTTCTTTGATGAATTACTTTAAGTGCTTTTGGAGCTCAAAAATATTTTCTCAAGTGGTTTCAGTTATTTAAAAACACTTTCTAAACGAGTTAATGACTCGTGTATGGCAACATTTAGCAAGTAATAGCTCTCATGAATTGGATTGTGGTGATGTGAAAATGGGTTTGGGTAAGTTTAGTTTAGATCAGTCACCAGTGTATAAAATATCCATGAAATTGTCGATATTTTCATCAAAATATCCTTAAAATTTAGGGTCCATAAGGAAAAGAAGGGTAAAATATAAATTTCAACCTATATTGGCGAGATATAAGAAAACAATGAATATCGACAATATTTACCAATTAACTACAAAATGTTGCTAAAACCTATTGCAGATTTTGAACTTTAGAATTTTTTTTTTATAAATTTTTTCTTTAATTTCGACTAAATCTGAATGAGTTGATACTTGATATGCTTATCCCATTGTAAATTTCCATCAAAGACTTTCCAACTAAATCGATATTTTAAACATTGGTTTAGACCCACATGTTTAATATCCAGTGCATGCAAATAGAATGTCAAATCTTTCAGAAAAACTTCAGTAGGACTGCCACTTAAGGGCAACTAGCATATTAAAGAGACCAATGCAAGGTTGGATGAGACTAAAATACATAAGAGCAATTCCACCGGGGACCAAATGTCCCAGCCTCCAGTCCAAAAACCAAGCCAGGCCTCTGTCAATCAAGTCCACCCCAACAAACTGACTGGTACCCAGCCCGAGTTGGGCAAGAGCCCAGCCCAAAAGAGACTGAGACAGAAGCCGGGGAAGAAGCCTGGCGCGTGCACTTCACGTAGCCGTTTGGCGAGTGCCCGACAAGCTTTCAGACGCCGGGGCCCGCGTGCAGGCGCTGTCAGTCCCCCCCCCGAGTTGCGACGTGGCTACCTCTCTGCCGTTGGATTTCCAACGGCTAGTTTTCTAGACCGTTGGATTTCCAACGGTAAAAAAATTTTAAATTTTACTTTTAAACTAGACCGTCGGATCAAAGATCAACGGTCCACGTTTTTTTCACAAAAAGTAAATTAAAAAAAAAAAAAAAGGGCCCAACGGTCAGAAATATGACCGTTGGCCACGTGGCAACTCCCTAGCTCTTGGATTTGAATATTTTTCAAATCCAACGGTCCAGATTAATTAACTATATTAAAATTCATTAAAAATTATTAAAAAATACAGAAAAATTATTAAAAAATACAGAAAATTTTAAAAAAATTACAGAAAATTTTGAAAAATGTTAATTTTTTTTCCTATAAATACCTAACCCTCATCTTCTACCTTTACACCACATTCCAATATTTTCTACACTTTCTATACTATCTACATTTCAAAATATTTTCTACACTTTAAGAGAAAAAAAATGTCTTCGTGGAAGCTCATTGAAGATGTTACGTTGTGTGAATGTTGGGTTCACACTACTCATGATCCGATTACGGGTAATGAGATGGATAAGCGAGAGATGTGGAGTAAAATTACGAAAGCGTTTTGTGATGTACATGGAGAAAACGCCAGAACTAGTCAAGGTCTTCAAGGTCGTTGGAAAAAACTCAATGCATCATTTACTTGTTGGAAAAACGCCATCTCTCATGCTTCCGGTAACCTCCGTAGTGGGACAAGTTTAGCGGATCAGGTGACAATATTTTTTATTTATTTATATGCATTCCACTCACATTAATATTTTGATTTATTTAATTTCGTATGTAATTTTTATCTTATTTCTTATGTAATTTTTATTTAATTTCTTATGTAATTTTTATTTAATTTCTTATGTCATTTTTATGTAATTTATATGCATTCCACCCGTATTAATATTTTGAATTTATTTATTTGTGTTACACCCGCATTTTTTAACACTATGTTATCCCACTTTTTTATAGACACTACAAGCTCAAGCATTCTACAATTCAAAGAACGGGAACAAATCATTCAATAGATTGGAATGTTGGCAAATTGTCAAAGATTGCCCTAAATACAAAATTGTGGCAACTGGTCCAGAAGTTGTCATGCACGGTATGGGTCTACATAGTTCTCCAGAACCAGACATGGCCGAACAAGAAGCCGACACATTTCAAGACACGGAAGGGACGGCTGAACAAGTGCCCGAGACCCAACCGACTCGTCAGTCCCTAAGGCCTCTAGGTAAAAAGGCGTCAAAGAAAAAAGGTAGTTCTTCCAAAAAATGACTACACTAAATATATGGAGGAACTTGCTCGCCAAGGTGAACTAAACTTGGCACGAGAAAAGGCTAGAGATGAGGAAAAAGTTGCTGCTATGGCAGCAATATTAGCAGCTACTGAGGCCCGTGATGCGGCGGCTGAAAGACAAAGAGAAGTAGTTAATCGAGAGAACGAGCTGGTTAGAGAAGCACTTCATCGAGAAAATGAATTGCTTCGAGAAGAAAGGATGGCTCAAGCATCGTGATCGTGACACTATGAGCAAGTCTCTAGTAGGACTGTCTCCGAATTCTAAATATTTTTTAGACATCGGAAAAAGAGATGCCATGCGTAGGAGGCGTGCAAGAGATGCGGAAACAAGTCAAGGGGGTTCTAGCTACACAAATCATGGCAACCAAGATCCTAGCACCACATATCCTAACTCGAGAGACTTTATTTAATTTCTTATGTATTTTTATGTATTTTCTTTCTTTTTTCTAGTAGAACTTTATTTAATTTCTTATGTTTTTTCTTTTTTTTAGGTTTGAACTTTATTTATTTTCTTATGCAATTTTAATGTAATTATTTATTTAATTTCTTTTGTACTTTATTTAAAACACATGAAATAAGATTACACATAAACTCACCAAATAAATTTAAAAACAAAACACATTACATAGAATTACATAAACTCACCAAATAAACTTAAAAACAAAACACACTACATAGAATTACATAAACTCACCAAATAAACTTAAAAACAAAACACACTACATAGAATTACTTAAACTTAAAAAAAAATACAATTTATTCTTCAACCACAAGCCTCATTCTAATTATCTTCGCCTCCATGCAATCCCCACTGGTGCTCAATCAAGTCATTCTGGCGGGTTACGTGCCAGTATGGCTCTTGCACATTAGTGTACCGCTGAACGATCAATTCATTGTAACGTCCATCACGTTCCAACGGCTCGTGTTGCACTGGATCTTCGGTCCCATCATGAGCACAATAAATACGTGTTCTTGAGTTGTTCATCGGATCTGGCTCATATTCATCGACGGCATCATAATCATACTCATCTTCAACAATCATGTTATGGAGAATAATACACGTCATCATGATGGATCGAAGAGCCTCGACATCAAACATTCTAGCTGCAGCCCTGACAATCGCCCAACGAGCTTGCAGGATACCAAAACAACGCTCGACATCCTTCCTACACCCTTCTTGACATTTTGCAAAGTGTTTTTCCTTTTCAGTCTGTGGATGTGGCACTGTTTTGACAAATGTTGACCACCTTGGGTAAATGCCATCTGCAAGGTAGTATGATCCCTCGTATTGGGTACCATTAACCCAATATGTGCATCTCGGCGAGTTTCCTTGCAGCAGTTCGTCGAACACTGGGGATTGGGCAAGGACATTTAGGTCATTTTGAGCTCCTGGAACACCAAAAAAAGCATGCCAAATCCATGTATCAAATGAAGCCACCGCTTCCAAAATGATGCTTTTGGCTCCTTTTCTGTCGCCATATGCTCCTTGCCACGCACTTGGACAGTTTTTTCCAAGTCCAGTGCATGCAGTCGATGCTTCCAATCATGCCAGGGAAGCCTCGCATCTCACCCTTCCTCAGAAGCCTTCGCATGTCCCTTGACGTGGGTGTCCGGAGGTACTCTTTGGTGTAGAGGGCTTCAATTGCAGAGCAAAACCGCATCAGGGACTCCAGAACAGTTGTTTTTCCCATCCTCGCGATCTCATCCACTTGATCTGCAGATGCTCCATATGCAAGCATTCGCAAGGATGCCGTAATTTTTTGCTCGGGAATAAGACCTAGAACATGAAAAGCATCCTCTTTTTGCACAAAGTATGAATCATTGTTGCAAATATCACTCATGATTTTGTTGAACAAATGTCGTTGCATTCTAAAACGCCGTCTAAACATGATCAGGGAATATGCTATTGGGAATAAAATAGTCTTCCAATAGATTTTTACCTCGTTTTTCCCTTTTTCTATCGAGGTTTGCAACACGTCTTGGTTTGGCTATCTGACCCACGGCTTCCATGACACGGCGGGAATGTGAGGCCTTCTGCCTTCTATGGTGATCATCCTCATCCTCCTCCATGAAGAAAGCCTCATCTCCACCTCCACCTTCCTCGAGATTGGCCAATTCTGCCTGTTGTGCCAACAACCTTTGTTGTTGCTCTTGCAACTGCTTATACACCCTTCTTGAAGAAGACATTGTAATAAGAACTCAAGATTTGAAAATGATGAACAAGGATTCTGAGCTAAAAAGAAGGATTGAGCTTGGTGTGAGGATGGATGTAGGGATGTAGGGTTTATATGGACAAAAAAAGAAAGGATGAGGTTCTGGACAATGCCACGTGGCACTACGTGATTGGTTGAAAATCTTATCGAAATCTTGGCTAAATTATTGTAAACCGGAAGTGACACGTGGCGTGTCAGGATTGGTCGAGAATATTATCGAAAATCTATCCACAAAATAGTACGTTCGGATAATGACACGTGGCATGACGTGATTGGTTGAAAATCTTATCGAAATCTTGGCTAAATTATTGTACCATGGAAGTGACACGTGGCGTGTCGGGATTGGTTGAAAATAATATCGGAAATCTATTCACAAAATAGTACGTTCAGATAATGACACGTGGCGTGACGAGATTGGTTAAAAATCCTATCCGAAATTAAAACTATTTTATTTTTTTATTCTTTATTTTAAATGGGTTAAAAATCTTATCCGAAATAAACTTAAAAAAAAAACACACCAAATAAATGCGCTGGGTGCTAGCGCATTTTTTTAGGGGTGGAGATGCCTTGGCCTATTACTGTTCACTCCAGTCTATTACTGTTCATTTGAGTGGATAAATGCGCTGGGTGCTGGCGCAAAGTCCACAGGGGTGGAATTGCTCTAAAGTCTCGTGTTTTGATGAGATGTGGTCTACAAATGATATAGCATGTGCCCTACGAAAAATGAGATCGGATTACCTATTTGAAGCTTCTCTAGTATGAAAAATTCAAGAGGGATGTGACGGGTCCGGAAAATAAAAAATCACACATTTTTATTAATAATTTTTTTGTTCGAATTCGGAAATGTATAGAACTGAACAAATGGAATAGTAGCTCAGTGATACCAACAATTTCATGTTGCAAATCACAAAACAAAAAAAAAGGAACTGTTTTACACAAAATTAATGACAATTAGAGTTGAACAACAGAAGCTTGCACTTTAAACGGTTTTTTTCTGCTGCTTTTGGTATGTATATGCTTTTTCCATGTCTCGATGTAGTGCCAGTTCACAGGTCATCATCCTGGAACAATGCTTTCGAAACAGAGCCGCACGGCTGGCTACTGTATTCTCGGTAATCTTCATCGTCATCCCAGCTGCGTTGCGAGCATGAACGTTTGATTCCTGTCATTGGGGTTTCACATACTCTGTCATCACATGAACCTCTATGATCCTTCCTTTTAAACAGCTTTCGAAGCGGATTTAACTTTGGTTTCAATGGTTTCAGCTGTTTTGGGGCCCAAACTCTCTGCAGATCGGGCATCCATCTTGTGGATGAAGCGAATCTCCAAGCCCTCTCTCTCCTCTCTTGAGCTTCAAGTAACTTGCGAGCATGGTCGTCGTTTTGTTTGATCTCTTCAGCGCTCGGTCTTCCAATATCAGTTTTCAGCGGACGAAGAGACTCACCTTCTGCTGATAATGAGTCCCAGATTCTATAACTTTCATCCACTTCGACACTCTTTGGTTTTTCTTTACAGGATTGATTGCTATCCTCACTGTTGAGTAAACTAATAGGGAGTTCTTCCTCATCGGCAAACAGTAGCAAATCCATTTTTGTATAGATTTTGTGAACCACATCTTCAAGTGTCTCACAGTACCTGAAAATGTCCAAATTCAAAGATTAATCTACCTGCTTAATTCTCCATCTCAAACAAAAATTGATCACCTGCATTTGTACATCAGGAAACTAAATGCAGGAATGAATTATTTAAGCTCCATCATTTCAAGGATCATACCGTAGGCTAATATGCTATTGCAGAAGTTGTATAAACATATTCCTCACTCGTTCAGAAAAACATGCCTACGATGTGCGGATAACTGGCTTATACCCTGTAAATCTACACTAATAAGGAAACACACTTAACTCATCTAAGATTATAAAGATAATCACTTTCCTTTTTTAGCATTATTGCAAAGGTAAGTAGGAGAGCATTGGATGGGCAGTAATATCCCACAGGAAAGTGGAAACAGTGGCACCGGAAATGTGTATTTGATGAGACATGAACGGTAGACTGAATGAGTGTCGAGAAAGCCATAACGACTCGGTAAAACATCCATTATATAAAGTAAAGAATAATGCGAAAGGCAGGGGTTTTCAACTCTGGTACAGATTTATTACCTGCTTTTTATGATCCTTTCAACATAATCATCTACACTCCAGTCACCAAAGAAGCCCTCCAGATGACATCGAATTTTCTCCAAAAACGAGCAAATCTGTTTTACAAACTTCTGTTTCATAGATTCTGCAATACTTGCACCAACCTCTGATTGTAGTATCTCCATACGGAAAAATATCTGCAATTCATATCTAGTACTAGGTGAAGGAAAAGTGTAAATGTAATTGGAGACAAATTTTCATATTGGTAGAGTTATAACTGGATTAATGCATAATACAGAAGACAGTTCAGTTATAAATGAGAAAGGATACTCTCGAACTATTTTTCCAGAAGTCAGTCCTTCAGATTCTGAATCGGATGCTTTAACAAACGGGCCGGAGCTTTTCTGCCTTGCAGTGATATCCTTGGGATCTCTCAGTAGAAGTTTTAACACCTCAGCAGAAACCAAATCATCAGTAGCACCAGATTTTACAAGGGAAGTTTGACTCTCTGAAAGGGCTTCTGTTTCCTGCTTTTTATTTAACCAATATATGGATGAATTCACAAGCCGATATGCCAATGCCCCCAAGTCTACTGCTTCATATTCAAGCCCCTGTTGTATCTTGTTGGATAGACTACTGAAAAAATCTTCCGACGTTTCTGATCTAAATTCCAAAGCAGCTTCATCTTGTATGCCAGAAGCCACAGTCAAAGAATTTTCTCCAATGGAAGGAGATGAAGAAATTGGCTGTTCACTTTCATGGTGCAAGTTATCCAACCTATTGTCCATCCCTTTTCTATTGAGCTGGTCTGCCTGGGATTCTTTCTCCACTATTAGACCACGATCGCTAGACTTCTTAATTTGTTTCATCCAGCATTTCAGAAATCGTATCTTTTTTGAGTTATAACATTCCCTGGCAAAGTAAACCTCTTCCAAACCTATCTCTGAGTGTTCAAATGCTGCCTTGTAGAAGGCACTCCATGTGAGATCTTGTAGCAACTGTGAATTTCTTTTGTTATTTCTCTTCCTTCCCTCCTTGCCTGCAGAATGCTTATTGGATGGCCCAGTTTGGTCCAAATCAGCATTCGGTTCGCAAATCCCATTCTTCATATTTCGACTTGATTGGTCTGCTTTTGCTCCACCAATATCATGCACTTTTGTCTGAGGGTGAAATCCTTCATCCACAATAAACAGCCGAGCCGAAGAAACTGTGAAAGGTTTGAGAATTCCGGTAGACGATACACCACTGTCACTTGAAAGAGACACTAATGCTCCATGACCATTCCTATATAAGAAACTCAAGAGAATCTGCCAAATGGGTGCTGACTTTCTCTTTGCATTCTCACCCAAGTCCACTGCTACCACTTCTAGAACCTTATCTGCATAATAATTGCCAGAACTTTCTTTTCCATCTTCACCAGGTTTTCCCAAAACATCACAGACAAGGACTGGATCAGATAAGTGCCCCTTGAATTTCAGAAACTCATTGTACTTTTGCAAAGCCTTAACCTGGAACTTTGTCACGCCTTTGACAAAATACCCCCAGAACAATTCCTTCAGTTTACCACCCTTTGTTTGTGAATTCATGATTTCTAGGGAAAAGAAAGCATCATCAGCTGCATTTCTAGGCAACTTCTTCAAATCAACCAATTGAAGATCACAAACCTTGCATTCCAAAGGCTTCCCACTTACATCTAAGATCTCGAGACTCAACTGCGCATTGACTTTCTTATGACTATCATCACAACCGAAAAACTTGGATGAAATCCCTATCTCGGGATAAATCAAACCAAAGGAAACAAGAGCAGAGCCAAGAATAATCCAACCAGTCGAGCAAAATCCCCATCCCAAACTCCTAACCCCACTCTCGAAAAACCCAAATCTCGTCTTATCCTCATCGTTCCCAACCTTACCCTCACCACATTCTAATTCATACCTGACATCAACCCAGCTACACTGAATATCTCTACTCACAAATGCTTCATTCACATTCTCAAAGAAACCCCTAAATCTCTCGGAAAACGCTTTCACATTTTCCAAAGACTCGTCACCCACACCCACTGTTAGGTCACAACTTCTAAATTCCCTTTCTCGACCTGCTAGTAGCTGATAGTAATGGCGGTGAGTGAGTGGGAAGGAAGATAGAGAGAGATAGAAAGTTTCTTGTAATATTGTTTTTCTAATTCAATCCTGCAGAACAATGCCACAATTTGGTTCTTATACAACCATCCTTCTCACAATGCCAGCTGGCTACTAACAATAACGACATGTAGCTAAATAGTTTTCCACTATTATTCTAACCACTATTATAATCATAACACTACCCCTCCCTTACAAAATAAACCTTGTCCTCAAGGTTAGAATTAAAGACTGAAATCAGGAAATCTGGCAGCAAACTCGTCATAATCCTCCCATGTAGTTTCGTCCTCTTTGTTGTTCTTCCACTGGATTAACAACTGAACTCCAGCAGCTTGGCCCTTCTTGTAGACCCTCATTTGTAGCACCTTGAGTGGTTCGAGTGGTAGCAACCCATCATCAGTGA